GGTAGTTTTTTCGGGGTTTGGGTAGCTCAGATTTTATCTGACGACGCCACGACGATATTCCGGGTAGCTTGGACTTCTCCAAGGTTTTGATAAAGTCCGGTCGACCTAAAATACAACCTGGTGAGGAGTATTTATTTATTTAATGTAAGTGTTACCTTCAAGACTCATTTGCTGATTTTGCATATTCAACAAGTTAATAAAACTAACGATATTTGATTTGTAGTTTCCACAGTTTGTGAAATCAACAAAATTAGCAAATTTTGTTATTGTTAAACATGAAAGAAAATATCTTATAAAAATTGAGAATTGTTTAGTATTTTGTCACAAAATTATTATATTACTGGAATTTGAAATAAAGGTAACTGTCCTATTATGAATTAATTAATTATTAAATATGAATATATAAAGAAATAGATTTTGGAAAAATGTATTAATTAGAATTTGTGACAATATCATATTTAGTTCATGGGATATAGTCATTGGAAGTTTGTATAGTATATTACATTACGAGTGTGGAAAATCACTTTTCACACAAGTGGTGTACAGTATTTTTCCTACGACCACAAAATAATGTCATGAAAAAAATGTAAAACCAAGGTTATTATTACTATAATAATTAAAATGTATTTAAAAAAATAATCAACAATAATCGTATTTATTCAATTTTCATATTTTCTAAACAAAAAAAACTAATAAAAAAAAATAAAAAAAAAAACAAAAAAAAATTCTGCCCCACCAGGATTCGAACGCGGTCGAAAAATGGCAAAGTGCATAAGTTCGACGTCCTAACCACCTGAGCTAATAGCCCTTGTGTCAATTGAATGATCTAATCGGTTATGTATTTAACCAGAATAAAGAGCAAACATTATTTTAAAATTATTTTAATAATAATTGTTAAAGTTAAATATCTAGGATCTAATTTACAACGATTTCAATAATTTAACAATCATATCGATTTTAGTATTAATATGGACATTACATAGATCAAAATAGAAATTAGGAGTTTGACATTTTGTGACAACTACTGCGGAAAGTAACATATTCTCACTCGGGTGGAAAGTAAATTATTATTCATACGCGTGTGATATAGGGCACTTTCCATAGGACTATATAGTGTGATATGTGTCACTTTCCTAAGTGGTCGTAGGAAAGATAGTTATCATGTATGTTTTGTCCTACGCAGATATTTTTTGAGATTACATTACCTTTATGTTAGAGTTTCGATCATAAACAAATTGCTATTGATGTGGAATTTTCCCGCGCATATTATCTACATAACTATTTTATAAAGCCATCATTGAGGTCCAGAGATGTTCTAATTCTTTAATTCCCTCTTTGCCTTATTTGGATCTCTTACGGTGCCTCCCCTGTAAATAGTTGATAACAAGTTTGCTTGATCTCGACAGCGGCTGACTAAGCGTGTTAAGAAAAATGAAAAGTGGGTAAAGTAGGGACTTTTTGTAAACTATCCTCCTCCTAGGTACAGTCTAAGCACCGTCGAATACCCGAAGGTAGTTTCCAAAACCTAGAATGGATATGAAATATATTCAATCAGCGTAATAGCATACTTTTTCGTTATGTAGATAAGCTACTATCAATGTGGGTGTAGAAAAAAATTATTACTAGTTATTGATCTTTAAGAACCTCAATATATTTGTACAGCTATAAATTACTTAAATCTAACTTAAAATACAGTTAATTTACTTACATTTTTGCATAAATATCTGACTGTCATGATATTTAGGGCAACATAAGCTAATTTGTTATCAAAGTCAGATTTACACCACCTCAAAATACCTATTTAAATATAGCTTTACCTTTATACATTTATGACTATCATTGTATTTAATTACATACCGTATTAAAGTGATATTTAGAAGATTGCATTAGTAAAATTATTGATTTCGTTACATATTGCTTTTAAAAAATTATTATATGTGTAAAATTGCTTTGAACAAATTATTATACTGTTTGCAGCGACGCGAAATGCTTTGTGATAAGCTACAAACAAGGATATAATTCTCCTTATATAATACTATTTTTCACTATTACTAAGAATATTCGATAGAAAAAGTCAACCTCCGAAACTCTCCCAAAGAAACGCCTATGGAACCCAACAGTCGAAATACATGATTACTGGAATGCACTGTACCGATTCATCGAAACATATTCGAATGATATTTTTGGCGAATGGTCCAGCCTATAGCAAGTCTAGAAAATGGTGGAGGTATCTAGAATCCTCAATAATAAGTCTGGGCTCAACATTTTTATGTAAATACTCCAACTTTGTTGACATGAGTCAGTATATATAATTAGATTTTGTGCTGTGTTAAGGTAGTTCACTCGTAAAACGGCTTTTCTTAAGAATTCAATAAAATTGAAATATAAGGTTAATGAAAGTGTCTTTTATGTAACTAATAAAAAATTTAATTTTTTGACCGTCTGTGAAACGAGATATTAACAATCAAAATATGCATAATTAACACTCTTGAAGCCTCTCATGTACACAAGTAATGCATTTATTTCAAGATATCTCGAAAACGGTTCTTACCATATTTTTTAAAAATTAATGTAATGTAAATCAAGAAGTTTTAAAATTTTCTAAAGAAACGCTGAATTTTTTGACCGTCTTAGTAAAAAGATATAGATTTTTAAAATAAAAATATTTTTAAAGCAATCGACGCGTAGTTGCGTAAAATTATTACAACTTGGCAACGTTGTATACGCTGCAATCAACGCGTTGTATCAAAATAACACTCGATCAGCTAAGAGGATGTTCGCGACGTTTTCTTGAAAAATTAATTCATCCACTGTATTTGAGAACTGGAATCAGCGGTTCTGTCCGAACCAAAACAAACCCTTAAAATTAATATGAGGAAGTCACAAATTTCTATAGCAAACCATTTATATATTTATGAGGTTGCCGGATGGATTTTATTAAAATCCATATATATAAGCTTACATGTGTTTTGTACAGTCTCTTATAAAAATAAAATTGATTAGCATTGAGAATCTCGAACTATTGGTATTCACCATTAAGCGATATTTTTATGTACGACTGTCGCGAGTGAACTACCTTAAGATAAAAATTTTCGAAGAAAATTTACTAACTGGTAACCTTATAAGTGTATAAATCAATGTTATATTTAGTATAAATAAATTAAATAGTAAAATATCGTAAATATAAATTAAATAAATAGTGGAAATAAATAAACGTTACAGTATGTAATATAATCAAATAGTTATAAAAGGCGGAAGCAAAGCAACAATATAGAACCGCTATAAAGCAATTTAATTTCATAAGGTGAAATGTATAGAATAGTAGCATAAATGTTTGTGTATCAATAATATATTTATCCTGTAAACTATTTAATAATGGCCCTGTAAGAATATTGTAGAAACTAATTTATACAACAATCAAACTTGTTTTCTTGGGGGATAAATACTACTCACATTTTTGGTGAATGCGCTGCGTTTTATCTTAAAATAACAATGGTAACAATGCAAAATGCAACGTCTAGAGTTCATAAATATGTGTATTTCCAGAAAAAGACTATGAGTTTTACATTAAAGTTGTTTTTAATTTTTTATTTATATACACAGGGTGTTCCAGAATCAAGTATCGTATGAAAATGTAGAACAAAAACGAGGTAAAACTCAAGAGATATTATATTTTTGTTATAACGAGATGCACTTTACTTGAGATACGTAAGATAGAGGGAGTTACTAGCTTTAAATTCTCTAATGGAAAGTAGGGTCATGTGAGACCTCATTTGAAATATATTTTCTATATTTTTACGTTTTACGTTTTTGTTTTTACAGAAATTACAGTAAATAAATTCATAAAGTAGGTTAAATCCTTTTTTTTTATTTACCGCTTCAACCTCAAAGGTTCATTACCGAAGGTATAATACCTTATAAATGCTGTTTTTACAGTAGTATACAATGGATAATTATCATTTTGGCTAGTACAAAGAAAATGTCAGTATCTTTTATAAATTTAAGTGATTTTTTACTGTTAGAGGGATTTATGTAGCTGGTACTCTGTTCTTATACAGACATGTTCTGTGCCTTTACTAATAAGTTACATTCTTGGTAACTCTCGTATTAACAATTATTGTTTATTTCTAAGGAAACGCTTCTTGTATAAATTAAGAATATCAAAAGTGATTTAAAAATCACTTGACGCATTAAATTTTTCATAACTTATTAAAAAATTATCTTCTAACATTATCTAACATTTCTAGAATTGTTGCGGCACACGAGGATTATCAAGAATGTACTTTTTGTAAAAATAAAACTGTTTGCTTGGACGTAAAAATATTCAAAATATTTTCAAATGAGGTATTACATGACTTTACTTTCCATTAGAAAAGATAGGAACTGCCTCTATTTTACGTCTCAAGTAAAGTGCATCTCATTATAACAAAAATACTATAATATTTCTCTAATTTCACATCGTTTTTGTTTTATCTTCTTGCATTTGGAAACATACTACAAAATGCTTTCATTTGACGTCGCAGGATTGCATTGGAAAAATTCTAACTTCCAATTTAACCTCTTCCCCCCTCCCCAACTGACTTACAAGACAAAGTATTTTAGTTTTTAGTTAACACCTAATCTGGGCCACTTATTACTTCAAATTTCATTTGTAAAACGACTGTGACAGACGGACAGACAGAGAGACATAAGTGTTTCTTATTGCCAAATTTGGGTACTAATGCGCAAATTACTTGAATTGTTTTTATCTTACAAATTTTACCGTTCTTCATGTTTCGTCTTTTTCAAATTTAAATTTGATATTGTTTTATCACGAGAGAAACGAGACGAGACAAGACGAGACAAGAGAAAGGCTATCTCGAGCGAGAGAAGCGCTCAGTTTTCTCTCGCATCACGGGACGAGATGAGAGAGGCCACTCTTTCGTCTCGTCTTGTCTCGCGGCATCACTAGAAATGGTATTACATTTTTTTAAAAAGACATTCAGCTCTTTCTTAAAAACATGCTGAATATGTCAACTGAGCAGAAAATTAGAGAGTGGTTCGTAGAAGTTTCATCCTTATTTGAAGAGGAGTATGGTGATGTGTTAACTGAGCCTCAAAGCAAATTTAACACGGACCAGACCTGCTTTTGGAGGACTTATTCTAGGAGCTAGAGGGTAAAATGTTTATAACGAGTCAACAAATTGCGACAAAGAAAATGTTACCACGTTATTTATAGTAAATGCCTTGGTGAATTCTCTAACAGTCTGACTTTATACAAGTACGAACGAATCCCAGCATTATTAGTTACAAAGGCTCCACCAAAATGGGCCATTGGTAAGACAGAAAACGAGTGGATAACTTGCGAGAGCTTCTTTGGATACATTATAGAAGATCAGGCAATGTCCAATAGTACGATATCTGGATTTAAATCAACCGACCTTCATCCATTCAATGATAATAACATGGATTTTTCAAAAATAATTAACAGATAAATTCAGGCACCCAAAAAAATTAATGTTGAGGAAATTAAACAACATTTACAATATATTGAAAGCAAGATTGAACCAAATATTCTTGTCCAATTTAGAGAAGCCAAAGATAGGAACTATATGATTGGGATGGAAACCCAGAAGCCACAATGTTGTTTGATATTTGGCTTCAGATATCCAATAAAGTTGAAACTTATTATAGTGATGATCATATTACAGCCAACAATGAACAAACATCGACAACCTTACCACAACAAAGTTTGGACCAAATACCACCAGAGGGAGACATTAGCTCGCAGAAAACTTTAGAGATAGAAACGTGTGTCAAAACTCCTGAAAAATTAATTCCAGTTTTTATAGTAACAAGTGTTTCAGTTCTTACTAAAGACGAACCACTTGTGGAACCATCACAAATATTGATACCTCCTAAGCGATCTTTAGCAAATATTTTTGACGATACAGTTCCATGGCCGACACAGAAACCTATTTTAAATAAAAGGAAAAGAGAATATACTCCTAGTGACATTACTTGTGATCGTTGGGTTGAGTAGTATGAACTAAAAGAGCAACAGAACATTGAAAAGGCAAAACTAAAAGAAAAGCGTAAAAAATAAAGAAAAGCAAAACGTACATTAAAAGAAAACAAATTGAAACGGAAAGAAAAAGAAAAAAGTTGTTAAAAACTCTAAAAAGCAGAAGATATTTAATGATACGAGTTCTGTAGAAGAAGGAGAATGGGAAGAAAGTGGAAGCATCACTGAAGACGTAGACATTTTTGAATATCAAACTGCAAAAATAGAACTTCTGTCTATAGAAAAATTAAAAGTTAAATACTTTGTTTTGGCGAAATTTAAATCTATTGATAAGAGGACATCAAGGACTTACAAGTATGTTGTTACGATTTTAAAAATTTTAACAAACGATGAGTTTGAGATTCAGTGTCTAAAAAGTCTAGACGAAAGTAAACAAAGTTTTCTTTACATAGACAATGATACACCATTAGTAAATAAATCCGACCTTCTAGGAAAATTACCAGAACCCAAATTTGTTATGGAGAGATACATTTTTCAAGTCCTATTGATGTTCTGGAACAAATTTAAGACTTTTTAAAGTTAGTTTAAAATAAAAATATAATAAATATCATTTTTATCTATGAATATTCGATGGCCATAAATGGAAAAAACCCGATGGCCATAAGTCGAAAAGTGGGGATATGTACACTTTTTAATTAATGTTTATTTTGTAAGTATCTGTTTCAAAGTGTGATAATAAAACCTTTGCTAATGTATTTAGAATACCTTTAACCACTCACTGTAATTTTGACAAAAACTATTCTTTAGATGTTTCTTATGTAGGAGGGATTTTCTCTTAGAATTTTCTTAATGTGGCAATAACCGGTGCCAGCACCCTACATTATGAAATTAGAAAATTGCCAATTTTTATTAAAGGCCGTTTTCATATTCAATATTAAAAGGTACATTAGGTCCATAAAATATTGGCCCCATTAGTTAATGGACCATTTAAATGGAATGTTCTACACAGATCAACCAAGAGTCTATTTTTTGAGGAAAATAGCATGGAGAATAATTATTATTCTTAACTTTAGTGAAATATAGGGTGTTCAAAAAGTTTGGATTGAAATTGTTTTCTTAGCTCTTAGCTTTACGCCAATGGATTATCGTAATTAATCGAAATAGAGTGTGTTAACTAATAATGACGATTAACTTACATATACATATTTTTAAGGTAAATTCTTTAACGCAAGGGAAGATATTTATGAAATTCACTTTATCACCCTGTAGAATGAAGACTAGGACGTCTACAAGAAAATTAAACTGCTTTTCTTTATAATTAGTTAAGTCCCCCAATTTACGGTACTTTATTCTAAAACACCTTGTATTTATATTTTAATTTTCAATTTACAGGAATATTTTTATTTTAAATGACAATGTTTATTTTATTCTATTTATTTATCATTTTATTTTTGTTTAATATAACTTTTAAAAAAATAATGATGTTGACTACGGCTTAGCGGGGTAATTGCCCCCCATAACCCCTCTTCTATCTACGCCCTTGATAACAATTCAGTTTTAGAGAACAATTTTAGTACGAAAAATTACCGTTCTAGAAGCAGCAATATAATAACAGTAAAATATAACGGTCCTCTAAACTGAAAATTATAAAGCCACTTTGCTAGTTAGAAGTATTTTTAATCCTTGCAATACTGTGAAAAACTGTAATAATTGCAAAAAGTTAAAAAATTACAAAACAATTAAATACGAAGAAGAAAAATATAATTATACAATATACTCGCAGTCCTAGATTAAAGCGGAGTGTTAATAAAAATAAATGCGCTTCCAAATATAGCCAAAACGAAAAAAAAAGGGAAAAGTAATAAAACTCGACATAGTATGTAAATGTATTGAAATCCTCTGTAGCGCTGGAGAGGCAGTCTCGCCCGGATTTCGAGATAACTAATGTAAATACAAATTTGGATTCGGATTTGGAAGCCACTTTGCTGCTGTTCTTCGGTTGCATTAAGAATGATTTTAGAAAAGAATTATAAATATTGGAATAGATTTTGGTTGGCAGAAGTCGTAAGACTAAGAGAAAAGTTACATTGTAAGAAATTTCAAACGGAATAATAAAACTATAAATTAATAATTTGTACAATTTACATAATAAGTTACTAGTAAATACCACAGATCAATAAGTAAAGTAACTGTCGATATTTGTTTGGCTCGAACCTCCAATAAACAAATGAAATATAACGAAATATTATCCATCTAGCTTTAATCAAAGAAATAGAGAAACAATCAATACAAGAGAGTTTTAGAAGCCATTATCAGATTTATAGTACAAAGGGCCGTGGTGGACCAAAACATGAACTAAATACAATTAATTTTTAATTCCAGTTATCTGGTGTAGATTAATAACAATAATCAAATTCTCTATTTGTCTTGAGTCACTTTTGTCACTGATAGTAGAACTGATGGTTTGATGTTTGAGTTCACATATTTGTAGATTAATAAGATGGTGATCTATCTATCGAACCTTCTATAAGCTTGGTAACATTTATTTAATAAACTTTTAGATTTGATATTTTACAACGGCCGCTGTATTGTTGAGAAATCCTTAGATCCCTTAGTAATCGAAGATAACCATCATCCAGCTTTAGATATCAGTTGTGAATTAATGGAAAAACTTGACAACAAAAATAACCTAGAATCTTCTTATACAAATTGTTATAATTTTCGTAAGGCAAATTTTCCACTTATGTATAATATGATATCAAATATTGACTGGACTTTTTTAGAAAGCTTTTATAGTGCCGATGGTGCATGTACATATTTTTATGGAAAGTTGTATAATGTGTTAGATCGTTGCGTACCCAATTATTCAGCGCATAATAAAAAAACATATCCTCCTTGGTTTAATCCCAGTATCATTAAAAAAATAAGAGAAAAATCCAAATTTTGGTGTCAATATAAAAAAGGCAATGATATCAGGGCTTTCGAAAAATTTAAGCGCATAAGAGCTGAAGTTAAAATTGCAATTAAAACGGCACATGAAAATTATCTGTTAAACGCAGAGAATGATATATCTATTAACTCTAACAAGTTTTGGGCCTACGTCAACAGTAGAAAAAGTTCTAGTAAAGTTGCTAATAACATGACCTATGAAAATAATACACTGGATAATCCTGCTGACATACTAAATAGTTTTGCTGATCTTTTTAGCAAGTCCTACGTTCATTCTAAAGTTTCTCATGTTGATGTGAATGAACTTCAATCAACTTGTTTAAATATTGACAGTTTTGACGAAAGCCAGGTACTTGACGCATTAAAATCTATAAAACCTAAGAGTACTACGGGACCCGACCATATTCCTGCATTCATTTTGAAAGATTGTGCCCAAGTACTCGCTTATCCTCTGACAATCCAGATCAATATTTGCATACGTTCTAGTACTATTCCGTCCATGTGGAAGAGCTCTAAAGTATGTCCGATTTTTAAAAATGGAAATCGAACTGACATTAAGAACTACCGACCTATTTCTATTATTTGCAATTTTTGTAAAGTATTAGAAATATTACTGGAACGCAGTATTTATCAACATATAAGGAATGCGTTATCCACTCAACAACATGGATTTGTAAAAGGTCGATCAACAGTAACGAATCTCTCAGTCATTACTCAGCATATAGCAGAAAATATCGATAAACGTATTCAGACTGATGTTATTTATACAGATATGACTAAAGCATTTGACAGACTTGACCATGGAATTTTAGTAAAAAAACTGTCTGCTTTTGGACTCTCGGATAGTCTTATTGACTTACTAAAATCATATTTGTGTAACCGTTCACAATACGTTCAGCTCAATGGGTTCAAGTCTGTTAAGTACCTTGCCACATCGGGTGTCCCTCAAGGGTCGAATCTTGGCCCACTCTTATTTAATATTTTTATAAATGACATTGGTAGTGTAATTAATGTTAATTATCTACTGTATGCTGATGACCTTAAAATTTATGCTTCCATAAATAATATTGCTGACTGCGAGCGACTTTCTGAAAATCTAAAACGAGTTAATGAATGGTGCCATAGAAATAATTTAAAATTAAACCCAGCCAAGTGCAATGTAATGTCGTACTCCTTAAAGTCAGATCCAACTTTTTATCAGTATATTGTTGATGAAACTCCCTTAAACAGACCAAAAAACTTCGCCGATTTAGGAGTCCTATTTGATTCAGCACTTTCTTTTACTGACCATGTCGATAGTATTGCATACTCATCTAATCGTACATATGGATTCATAATCAGAAACAGTCGTGATTTTAAGAAAGTAGATACCATAAAATGTCTGTATTATGCTTTTGTTCGATCCAAGCTTGAATACGCGTCACTTATATGGAGTCCATTGTATCAAGTACACATTGGTCGTTTGGAAGGAATTCAGAGACGATTCCTAAAATACTTAAGTTTTAGACATGATCTAGTTTATCCACCCATTGGCACCCCACACGGCGCCTTATTAAATAAACATGGATTTTCTAGTCTCGATATAAGGCGAAAATATTTTTCTGTAATTATGCTGCATAAGGTCATAAGCAATCAAATAAACTGCGAATGTCTATTACATATGCTTAATTTAAAAGTTTCACGTCTAGCCTCAAGATATACTGACTCATTTTACTTACCAACACCTCGTACTAATATTTTAATAAACTCACCGTTGTATAATATGTGTAATAATTACAATCAGATAAGTCAGGAATTGGATATATTCCACATTAGTATTCAGGATATCAAAAGGCATTATTTAGGATAACCATCATTGTACTTTATTTCCTGTAGTATTTTTCATTTTTGTACGTTTCGTCTAAATATTTTTGTCATATTTTCCTATTCTGTAATTGGGTATTACTTGTAGAATAGTGTATTTAATAAATAAATAAAAATAAATAAATAAAATAAACATGGCCTTTATAACGCGACAAGTCTTATTACTTCAAAATTTGTAAATATCTTTAAATTAAAAATGTTTCGTA